CACAATCGAGCATTATATATTGCACGACATAATATGTCGCATTCATATTTTTTTTTTTTTTATATGAGGGTTTAGAGTCGCATCGACTACGAGGTCTTTAGCGACGTGTCATTCATATTTATACAAGAGGTTTATGCAAGAGATGTATTATGTATTATGCAAAAATAGTTGTATGTAATTGCATATATAACACACGGAGGAGGGAAACGGTAAATTCATTTTCGGTCAAAAGGAGTTTCTTTCGTTAAGAAATTTGCAGTCAAAAGGCTCATTCTCTTCCGCCTATTTTCCTTGCCTCGAGTATTAAAACCTCTCAGCATCAAAGGATCTGCTTAATTCAATAACGCTCAAGTACTCTTGCACTCGTATTTAAATGAAACAAAACAACGAAGCATTCGATGTTTGAAATTATTATGATATTTGAGAATGCAAAGAAAAAGAACTACATTTATACAAAAATCTCCACTTTGATTTCAATTCAAATGAACGTATATGTCTGATCGAATGCCGGCTAGACAAGTGATTACCAGTAATTAACAATCAGACATCCATACCACGATATAATATAACTGAAGAGAAATATAGAAACTATACGTTCGCATGTTTTGTAAGCATAAAAATGGAAATGTCATCACTTAAATGCACATTATCTATATATATAACCTAAATCTAACCTAACTTAAACCTAGCCTAAACCTAAACCTAACCTAATTTAAACCCAGTCTAAACCTAACCTAACTAAACCTAAACCTAACCTAACTTAAACCTAGTCTAAACCTAAATCTAACCTAAACCTAATATATATAATTTATACACTTGTACAATTATACAATTGGATGTTTACACAAAAAATGCTACTAGCTCGGATAGAACCCAATTGTCTGTCACCTGTACTTCCGAGTGTCATTTATAGTCTACAGATAGTGTCCTTATTCCTTCCTAGACCAGTGACGGCGAACTTTTTTGAGAAGTAGGTCAAATTTCGTTCATTATTTTTTTTAGTACTAGCTCGTGAGTCACTAAGTTAGTAGCGTCACTTGGAAAGGGGGAGGAAAGGATGGTTAAAAACTACTTTTCTTTGGTTCTCACTTTTACAATCCTCTAAAAAGTTTACGTTTCCTTTTTGTTTTGCAACGTTTGCTTTTGCAAGTGAAGAGCAAAGAAATAAACGTCGACGTCGAAAAATTGATACAAAAGGGGTGACATCGTGCCCAGTCACCCCTTCACTATACATTACATATATATATATATATATATACTTTATTTCTTAATATTTTTTATTGTCTGTTCTCTCTTTTGTTATATATAAAAAAACTAGCAAAGCTACCCATTCTGAGAATGGGATCTAGTATGTTTTTTTAGTGTTTTTTACATCTGTTTAATTGTAAGAGCTGTATAAAATGTTTTGGACACAACTAACTCCAATATAACATTTAAGAAATACCTACTTGAAATACCTACATGTACACATAACCATAAGTCGTAAATCCTCCATGAAACACAATTATGCATCTATTTCTCACGTTTAAGCTCTAACCGGACACTTGTAATTTTCTTAACATTTTTCGAAAAATAATTAAAATTCTTTTACGTATATGATGATCAGTTTATAAAAATCAACGCGTGGATCATTTGAAAAGCCCGCGTGGGCCAGGCCCTAGAATGTTGAAGTGCCCTCTATTCACGAACGTGAATTTCACTGTATATCATTAATCAAACGAAGTGGAAACCTCCGCGGATTCTCCCTTACCGGCAGAGCAGCCCTCCGAACCTTTCGAACCTCGGGAAACGCGCGTTTCGCAGAGAATGGTTCCCCGGTATAACGATGGCATCGATCCTCTCGGTCTCGGTCTCGACTCCCCGTCAAAGAGATCCCAATTTCCGTCGATTTGTTTGGCGCGAGGCGTTCCAGCCCCCCCGAGAGGTATTGTTGTTGCCAGCCAGAGGCAACCATCTCTAATGATTCAGGATTATCGACTCGCGAAACGCTTGTCTAACGACCGTCTTTTGCTTGTCTCTCGTTTTCTTTTCTTCTTCTTCTTTTTTTTTTTTTCCATCTTGCCGAGTCATTTCCCTTCCATTCGATGTAAATATATTAGATATTTATGCACGCTGCGGACGACTTTCAAAAACGAACTCTCCTCAAAAGAAAGGGGGGGGGGGGGGTTTAATAATTACGACCCCTAAGGTTCTTTGCTCTTCTGAAATTGATCGAAGAGTCGCTCGCTGTCAAGTAGCAAAGAAACGTAATTTCCAACGATTCTAAAAGAGGGGGGAGGGGGTTCGATTTGTTCAAGTTGCCCCGTTCGAACGTCACAGCAGATGATTTGTACGAGCCGTTTATTTTGAAAGTGAATCTTTAGATCAAGATGATTTAGAAATATTGGTAACTGATAACACTAGCGTGGTGTACGACGCTTTTGTGTAATTTACCATTCCATAATTAGTATAATAAATGTTGTCTACGAAATACACACACACACGCTTTTCGATGGCCTTTTATAAATGGACCTGAGCCACTTTCGAAATAAAAAAAACTTTTGACCAGCCAATTTCCTTCCCTGAAAATCGTATGAAATCTTAGCGATTTTAAACTACGATTAAAATTACGATTAAAATTAATAAACTACGTATATTAACTACGATGTAAATATATTAGATACGTTTAAAAGAATTAAATGATCACGTGGAACCGTGAATATTAAAATGGCTTTAATTTGTTTGGAAAATGGAGTCGAGCCACTTGGAAAATAAAACGGCACGCCGCTGTGTTGGAAACTGGACACGTTTAAACGCTACGGGAAAGTAACATGATCGAACGAAATAGGCACGCGATATTCCGCCGATAAAATATTTTCGAAATATTTTATCCAGGCCGGGTGATATTCAATACGTGAGTTTCGAATGGGTTTGTTCAAATAAATAATACGCGAAATGCACGCAGGCATTCGATATCGTCGCCCCCTTTTTTGATCTACTTTGCAATACTCTCCGAGCGGTTCTCTCTTCCGTTTCAAATCATCTTCCCGTTCGAAAATTGATGCATGCACACGCCGAGTAACCATTTATGTACTTTAATAAATTTCAAAACGAGTCGCAATTTACGCAAGCTTCGCGGAAGACGGGCCGATCGGTTTCGTTTGTTGCGGGGGACAAAGCGTGGAACAGAAAGCTCGGCAAATTGATCGACCACTGGCGATTAATTTTATTTATCGAAGATTAATTTCCTTTGATCGACGATTAATTTTGTTTGTTGATGAAATCGATCAAACTGAAAATTCTCATCGATTAATGGCCAGCTTTGTCTTCAATTTAAATGAAATTATAATCAAATCTAATGTAATGACGAACAATTGACTAATTTTTTTTTAATTATTTTATCATTTTTATAATTTTTCGTATAAATTTTATAATTTTTTTCATCATGTTATCATTTTTGTAACTTTTTCTCCACAACGATTGGTATTTTCAAATTTAAAACATTTCTTTAAAGATATATAAAATGAAGTATAAAAAAAAAAAAAAAACATGGAAGACGTTCTCCTAATACTTCATAACGAATCAAGATCAGAATGCAGCTTCACTCCAAGGAAATCAAATGAAAAAAATAGTAAACTATTACAGTAACGACCAAGTGAGACATTGCCAACATTGACTTACGATTTACCAACACAAATTAAATTAGTAAACGAAACAGGTTAGGTTACGTGTTTCGGTTAGGTTTTTATTTTTATAACCTCACTTTTTTCCAATCTTCGAGTGAGAAGCTCGAGCGTAGTATCAACCTTTCAAAAAAAAAAAAAAAATAAATAAATAAATAAATAAATCACATGCTCGCCGTGTCGTCGTTCACAGTGATGAGAATTCAGTTCGTCGAAGGAGAAAATCAACCGTGAAACACGCGCTAGTCCACGAGTGCAAACGACATAGAGCTTCCGACTGTGCGCCGGAAATGGTCGGAAATAATGTATTCGGTGGGATCGGCGCACCGAGGGATTCCTTTAGAACCGCAGAAATCGAGCCTTCGCCGCGTATCGCGCCAGCAAACGCAAATTTATGGCTTCCAGCTCCCTCCCGCTTCCTTACTTCCAGCGAGCTGTTCTAAACGCTCTCGAGCTGTTGCAAATTGCCCTGAATGCCTAGAGAATACTGATTCCGTCGCGCAGCTCGCTGGAATCAGACCGCGAGTCCCTCTGGCGGCGGTGGATTAAACTGTGGGGCCACGATGGCGAATTGTAAGACACTGGGCTTTCGCGTAATGTCTCTGCGAATGTTAATTGGGCTGGCAGGTATTCTACGTCGTTCTATTCTACGAGCTAACCGAGTTTGAAAATAAAAAGTGTCCTAAGATTTCTTTTTAAACGAGAATGTGTATGTACAGGGTTGCGTATTTGTATAGAGTGGTCACTGAATGATAACTTTTACACGTGCTTTTTAAATTTTTTATCATTTTATTTGGAAGTATAATTAATATAATTATAATTATTTGGAATGACCATTATTTTCCTGTTCATAAATACTAAAAATGGAAATGAACAAGTTGTGGCTTTTTCAAAGCCTTCAGTTTTGGCCACCCTGTACTTGCACTGAGAATCAGTTTGGAAGATTGAAACTAAAAAGTGTCCCGAGATTTTTGAACAAGAATGTGTATTTGTATAAGGTGGTCACTGAATGATAACTTTTACAAACACATGTTTTTTTTTATTATTTTATTTGGAAATATAATTATGAATATATATAAATAAATATGAATAATAAGATGAATCTCATAAGTATGAAAAATGGAAATGAACAAGTTGTGACTTTTTCAAATCCTTCAGTTTTGGCCACCCTACACTTGTACTGAGAATTAGTTTGAAAGATTGAAACTAAAAAGTGTCCTGAGATTTTTGAATAAGAATGTGTATATATATATATGAGGCAGAATGTATGCATATATATATATAATGAGGCAATTTCTATGCATTTTCTCAAGCAATGTTCCACGATATCTGTTGCAGGTAGTGTTCAGTGTTGCTGCGTGTTTTCCTGATCGATCCTCGTGCGAGTGAACCGGGACTTTCCAGTTGTATTTCCAAGCGTATCGATATCGTCGCCTCGCGGCCAGCAAGCAAGCAAGCAACCAAGCAACCAAGCTACCGAACACAGGAAAGTGTCCTCTCGACTGGAGGAGAGCGCAAGTACTCGGCATGAAGGGTGAGTCCTTTGAAAGTTGCCCCGTTCGATGCTCGACTTATGGTCGATCGGCCATTTCTGGCCCCTTGTCTCCGACCACAATGCCCTCGTCTAATCTGTTTGCCCCGCCAGAAATTAACCAACAACCGCCGAACGATTGACCAACAACTTCACCGTACCTGCAGTGTTGTTGTTCGATCGAGAATTTTCAGCGTTAATTCATCGAAAGTGCAATACGATATTTCGCCGTAACGAGCTCGAGGTATTTCTGCCCGGCAGTCAATTGGGTTTAAATAATCGATTCGCCCGGCGAATTCTTGGGAATTTATCGGCTTCGCGAAAGAGCGGTGAAAATTTAGGCGCTGTACGTTCGAGCATCGTCAAATCTTCTCGACGAAATGGATTTTCAATTTCGATTTGTTGATTTAATTTTTCGTTGTTCAGTGAGTTGGAAATATAATGCGACGATAGAAGATTGAAACGACGACAAATTGACGTATCTTTTTTTTAAATTAAAATTACTCATTTTATCGAAATAACGTAATATTTTTCTTATTAAAAGTAACAAACGCAATTATCAATTTAAAATTGAACGACGACGCCAACGATCCGCCTTCACGGCCGATAGAAAATCCACAGTTATCCAACAAAGGGCGAAACGCCAATTGTTACCCAAAGCCCTGAACTTCCCTGAAAAAACAACGAACGTCCAACCCCCTTGGCTCGGTTCGCGAGGAGGATCCATCCGTTTTAATCGGTCGCCCGGCGAACTAGATCATCGTGGCCTGGCTGAAGAAAGACGGGGCAGCAAGAAATTGTACCTCGAGGCATGGATCCCTCGTCCGCTAATCTGGCTCCATTAAGAACTTCATCGGCCTTTTATCTCGGCCTTTAGCGCAGCCTCCGCGTTATCTTTTAATCGTTTAACCTACATCAGAATGGCCGGCTAGAGAGAGAGAGAGAGAGAGAAAGAAAGGAAGCGACTGTTCGATTCGGCCCCGGGTCGATTCCATTTTCGAATGGCGTATAGGGTGAGCCACTGTAACTCGAGCCACCTCTCGAGTGTTGTTCGTTTTTTTTTCTGAAGATGTGAACACATCATTTTGACAAAAATTGTCTGACACAGGGGGGGAAGGAGGAATTATTTTTGTTGCAGTCAGAGGCGACGTCATTTTCTTTTTCTTTTTTTTTCAAATGAAACTCTATATTTTTTTTTTATTTTTTATACACCAGTGAACAAAACATCCTTTTGACAAAAATTGCCTGACACAGGGGGGGGGGGATTATTTTTGTTGCAGTCGGAGGAGACGTCATTTTCTTTTTCTTTTTTTTTTTTTTTTCAAATGAAACTATATATTTTTTTTTTTTTTTTTATACACCAGACATTTNAAATGAAACTATATATTTTTTTTTTTTTTTTTTTTATACACCAGACATTTTTTACACACCAGTGAACAAAACATCCTTTTGACAAAAACTATCTAACACAGGGAGGGGGGAGGGGGGGGGAATTATTTTTGTTGCAGTCGAAACAGACGTCATTTTCTTTTTCTTTTTTTTTCAAATGAAACTCTTTTTTTTTTATTTTTTATACATCAGACCCCGATGCAGCTTTTTATTTTTGATTAACAAAAAGAAAGAAAAGTATTTATTCGTGTCGAAAAATTAATGATTTGGAAGGTATTTTAATTTTAATTTTTGTAAAGGCTACGCACGAGAGACAAGGACAATTATGGTTTCCTCGTCTTTCATACGACAGATTTTTTTTAGAATTGAGGTTAGAATATCTCCTAAACTATCGGGGAACGCGAAATTTATGTTCATTCAACATTTCAGCTGAATATATGTATATAAATTATTTATATAAATTATTATATAATTATATAATTTATATATATAATAATATATTTATATAATTTGTATAAATCATATTTTATTAATTTATATTTATTTATATAAATATATATAAATAATATATAAATATATAAATAAATATAAATTAATGAAATATGAAGAAAGAAATAAATATAATTAAACGTTTTAATATAAAGATATTACTTAACATATATATACTTTTGCTACTTGAACGAAACAATATATTTATCTAATTAAATATAATGGCAAATGTAAATATATCTATATGTGTTCAAATTATATGTATATCATATTACAATATATCATAGTAAATATATAATAATTTATATACATTATATATGTATATAAATGTTTGACAATGTTTGTCCACTTGTTGTTCTTTGACAGGAAAATCAACACGATTTATGTTTTTACATCAAGTTCAATTTCACTTAATAAATCGGCCATCCCTGTATACGCGCGGCGAATAATCGTCGTGCTCGTAAACTGAATTTCCAAGCCACGTGGGCGACGTTCGGTATCTCGAGCGTAACTCGCGTTTATCGTCGAGGAAGCCGCTCACGCGCGAGACGCCGCGCCCCGCACGTACGAAACGCATAATGCATGCGATCCGCATAAATTCAAGCAGCGGAGCCTGCCACCTTGGCCCACGTCCCGCTTCACCCTCCTCCCGAGAAAAAATTGCGAAACAATCCATCTCGAGTTTCAACAACGAGTTGGACAGCGCCGTTGATCCTTCGCCTCTCTTGCCGCTTGGCAATAAAATAATATAGCGCTAATGGAATAATTCGCAGCCCGCGTAATGGGGAAATCGCGCCGCGCTAATTATTGAATATTTCAGAGCGTGCGGAGTGGCGCAGCGCGGACGGGCCCGCCCCCCACTCCATCCCAGCTCCCCCCACTCCATTTCAGCCTCCCCCACTCCATTTCAGCCTCCCCCACTCTACTCCAGCTCCCCCACTCCATCCCAGCTCCCCCACTTCATTCTAGCTCCCCCCACTCCATCCTAGCTCCTCCCCCACCACCTTTCGTTCTCCCCTGACGATTGTCAGAGCGTGCACGCTCTTTCCCGAAGACGCGTGGCAAGCAAAGTCACCAAAGAAGCGAGCAAGATATACTTTTAGCTTGCTCCTTTTCTCGAGAGTTTCTCCTTCCTTTTTGTTCGAGTTTTTGTCTTTAGTTTTTGTGTTACTACAGCACCGTTTTTTCGTTATTAAGTTAGTAGCAATTAGTTACTTGGTGATTGAGTTACTAAGTTATTAAGTAATCAGGTTACTCATTATTATACTCTTCGTTCGAGTTCTCGTCTTACGAATGCCTTCATTTGCCGTTAAAAATGCTATTTTTTTTTTAATTATTAATTAATTGCTATGTTCTTTATCTTACGAACGTTTTCGTTGTATCATCACAGTGCTGTTATTAATTATCTGTAGTATAGTTATTGTATTCTTCTATCGAGTTCTTGTCCTATAAATATTTTCGTTATACTGTTACAATGTTATTTGTGATTGTTTATAATTTGTTATCGTAGTTGTAATATTGTTCGTAAATGTTGTTTATAATTCTTTTTATTGTTACAACGAAACGTCTGCCAGTGAGCAAGTTTGAACATTATTCGAATAAAATATTTGAGAACCGATTATTTAAATCTGGATCTGGCTCGATGTTATTTATTTATTTATTTTTATTGCAAATTGCTCGATCGCTCTAAACTAATTTCCCACTTCTCGCTTTGCGGTTTATATTTTCTCGATCCTATACAAGTATATCAACTTCCGTTACGGTCATCATTTGTTACTTCGTTCCAACGATTAAATTTAAAGCCAAATTTTAATTAAATTATTCCTCAGTTAAAAGAACGATTCAAAGTCGTTTCAAATTGTTGTTTCTTTTTTTCTCTCGAATAAAATTTCCCAGCAGGTAATCAGATTTTGTCGAACGACGCAACGCGACGAGAGTAATTAAAAAATAACAAGAGTCTCCATCCTTGGTATATATTTTCATTCTCGAAATTGAAATTCACGGTAGCCTTGCTCCTTTCTTCTCCGTCTTTTTTTCTTCTTCTCTTTTTTCCTTGTTTTTCTTTCTTTCTGCCTGATTTTGCTTCGGCGAAGGGATGGCGCGCGGGCTCTCTTTTGAAACGGCGGGAGAAAGGATGTCACTGAAAATGTAGAGCAACCGGGGGTTGTGACGGTTGCGTGCGAGCAATCTGCGTGGTTGGCTCGATCTGGGTCACGGAAATCGCTGGGAAACGTAATTTCAGGATACCCGTTCGACGCCCTCTTCTTCGCCGCCTTTGCTGACCCGCTTTCCCCTGCGCGATCGCTCCTCGCTGCTTCGATTTAACCTCTCGCGCACGTCGAGAATTTTTTCGCCCCAAATTGCAACGTTTCTCTCAGTTTTAAATATATATATATATATATATATTAAGTATAAACCAAATACACAGGGAAAACAAGTAATAAATTCATTAACGTTTCAGTAATTTTTATCCAGTGACGAATTATCGGTTCGGTCACTCGTTATGGTCCGCAATCGGGTTGCAGGTTAATCAACGATTAAGCGTAGAGTAGTTTCCGAAAGAAATATTTGACGCGTATTTTTTTTTTTTCTTTTTCTTTATTTATCGGCGATCGTCGTATATTGCGACGAATTCATCGACCCGTTGTAAACTTCGACATGATTCAAGACCGTTTACTGCCTCTAAAAGGTTATTTGCGTTGAACGTGCGTAAGAAATTCATTTGAAATCGGCGTTAATATCTGGTTAACTATCTCTAGAGGATAGTTCCTAACCTAACTCTAAATCTACCTAATGAACATTAATGTAAACCAAATGAACCTAACCTAAACCTAACTCTAAATCTACCTAATGAACCTAACCTAAACCTAACTCTAAATCTACCTAATGAACCTAAACCTAACCTAAACCTTAATGAACCTAAACCTAAACCTAATGAACCTAATCTAAATTTAACTCTAAATCTACCTAATGAACCAAACCTAAACCTAACTCTAAATCTACCTAATGAACTTAACCTAAACCTAACTCTAAATCTACCTAATGAACCTAACCTAAACCTAACTCTAAATCTACCTAATGAACCTAAACCGAACCTAAACCTTAATGAACCTAAACCTAAACCT